ATGCTGCTTTAACAGACTTCCCTCCTTTTGAAGGACTTAACATAAGATTATTTTGAAGCTGCATGTCTGCAGAGATTTGTGCAGCAGGTGAGGCCTGGCTGTGATGATTGGTGATAAGGTCGGACTTTGAAGTGGGTGTTCAAATAAAGGTGTTTGGGTTGAAGTGACAGCTGAGGCATCTTGTGAAGTGTTCATAAAAACATTTCTCTGGTTCTTGGTTTTGGCACAGAGGCATTATCTTGTTGAAACAGAAAAAAGCATTTCCCTGCATGTTGCCATAAATGGTCTGTGAATATATACAGTACATACAGGTATATACATTTGCTCTCATTACGTTTCATTCAACTTTAAACCAGGGAGCATACTGGAACTGTTCAAAACAGCCTCAGGCTCATGACCAAACATGCACACAAATAAGTTGACATGTTCATGGCTGTTAACTCTATTTTATCATTGCATCTACAAAAGGGTAGACTCTTAACAACAAATGATCCAAAATAAGCAATACACATCTACTTACTGAAAAAAAAAGATGTTTATGCTTTGAAACTTGTATAAAACAGCTTAAGACATGAAAGAATATCCACACTGACCAGAATTTTTGACATAAAAAATATTGAAGTTAAACTATTTTCCCCCATTAGATTTAATGATCTACAGTTACAGGTTGGTATACCCTAACTCTATAAAGCATTTACTGTAATAAGGTTTGCAAAAAGAGGTTCTTATTCAGTTGGTTGATAGAGACATTGAAAAAAGAAAGGTGTCAACCTCTTCATACTCTATGTACACTCAACATCAACCCACCATTAATCAATAAAAGAAAATAACTCACTATATAGTGACATTTTTCGCAGCCATTCAAAGGACTAAAAGCTTGAATCTGGTGCAGCAGTTTGGTACCAACATCAGCACAGGGCAGCCCAAACAGCCTGCAGGGAAAAGAGCAATTATCACATAGACACATTATTCTTGAAATGACAGCAGGAGGCGACAATTTGCCTCCGGTTGATGTTTTTTTTTAAGGGTCTTTAGTTTGACGTTGAAGCTTGGATACTAAAAAACAAAGAAACAAGTATAATTGGCGAGTCTTCTTACCAGAGAGTCCTGCAGAAAGCGTGGTAGGGAACAGGTGCAGGGCTGGCAAACAGTCCTGCAAGAAATGCTGAGGCCAGCAGCAGAGGCCTCATGGTCGTAATCAAACAGGACTATTAAAAAGTATAGAGGTTGTAGGTGTCTCGCTCAGCAGGGGAGTGAACTGTCACTGCAAAAATCTGTGCTGGTGACTGAGCCAGGGGATGTGTTTATGAAGAGAGTCGGATGTAAAAGAAGTCACAAGGGTCAGTGTGAAGGATTGGAAAAGAGAAGATCAAAGACTTGTGATATTGGTCTAAAGCAACTCTCTCTCCTCATGTCTTAAGTCACAGCAATTAGAGGCAATGCAAAGTAATGTGTTCAGTGTTATCTGTATGTTTATTTACCAGTGCAAATGCAATGATGCTGCTCTTGATCCTGGATGCAGGACTAATGAAGGCTCAGTGTTAATGCCTTTGAAACATAACAGTTCTCTGTCTGTTATAGTCAATTTAATTAACGTTAATTTATTTATGTTTTCATTTATTTGAAAAATGAATTGGTGTGTTATCTTGGCAAGGTATGGAGGACATTTCCGCTTAAAAAAAAAAAACCATGACAAAAGGAACCCCCACAATAAAACCCCCACAATAGATGAAGACATAACATTTTATGTGCCAGCATGATTTGACATTTGTTTTTCTGACCTTTAAAACACAGACCTCTGAATGACCAAAAAGTCATTTGACTGCTAAATCTCTTATCTGACCGCATGTCGAAGAGCAAACAGGAAGGAATTTTGAGAGCTTCTTCCTAATTTCACCACTTTAACACGATGATATGCTGGTCTCTTGTCTCTTAATCTCATGTAATCACTGCCACTGAATAAACGCACGTCATTGTTTCCTGTCCTCAGTTATCAATGTCAGTGAATACCCATGCTTTAACATGGCCTTAAAGCTTGCCCCATTAGTGAATTTAAAGTGGAAAAGTTCACCAGCTCCAATTTAAAACAGGCTGTGATGTGTCATTCTGTATTTCATTTCTATTTACAAAGTAAAAGTTTATTTACACTCATCAGAAGAGAGTTCTAGTGTAGCGAAGGTCTTACAGATCATTTAAACATCTCTGAGATGAAATACAATGACACAGAAACCATAATGGAATTGCAACTTTTTATTGGTTTTATTCTCAGCGATACATACATGAGTTTGCCATTGTGAGACAAATGAAGTTTTAAGGCCGTTATTTGCTCACATTATTTCAAAATAAAAGCTCAAGCTTTACAGGTGGCGAGTCCAAAGCCCAGACAGGCCCATTCGTTGGTGATCTCGATGAAACCTGGTGATGATGTGAGTCCACTCGCTACCATCAAAACATTCAGACACAAACACAAATGTGATTTAGATTATTTTACAGTCATGAGCAATAATCCTCTGTCTCTGTAGTCCATACTGTAATAAAGGAAAGTACAATATAATACAACTACAACCATATGTGTAAAAATACCTGGCCAATAAAGCTGATTCAAAATACCTCAGGTGATAAAGATCCTGACTCCTGAACTCACCTGACAGCAGGTTGAAGAGGTTGCAGTAGTTTAGTCCATTATCAAGAAGGCTGGTGAATCCAAGAGAAATGGACTGACCCTTGTAAGGAGGAAAGTAGAGAAATAATTAAATCTAGTTTCTAGTTTCTTTTTACTGGAGTTACAAACGGTTCCTGACTTGGATTGTTTTTATAAAGACTTTCAGAAGAAATTATTTGCTGCCAAATTGAGTCCTATTCACATAGAAGATTTCTTTTTTCTTTTACTTTCTTAAGTTATCTATATCTGTGGTTACCTTCTAATGGCAGTGACGTCTTTTTTCAAAATATATGAATGCATGAATGTGTTGTGACCCGAAAACAAAGTGGAGGCTAAAACCTTAATAAATAATTTAAATTACAGTCACTTAGAATCAACCATATACAGTATGGTTACTGGCCAGCAACGTATGATGCCATTTTCCAGACAGAAGTGTCCAGTTAAAACCATGACTTACGCCAGTGCGGCAGCCCTCTGTCTCTACAGCAGAACTGAATGTGAAGGTGACGTTCTCAGCCTGGAGACCGTCCAGCGAGGTGTGGTTAGCTTTGACAGACAGAGCGGAGGCTGACACGAGCTGCAACAGAAAGTAACAAATCCTGAGGCTGAATATGGTCAATAGTGCAATATTATAAGGAATAACAATTTGACATAATTTGAATTAACAGATGAATATTTAGTACCATATATTGAGGGTAAAACGCTCGTATCTGTTGAACTATTTTGGTGCCAATTTCATCACAAGGTTTTGCAAAGAGCCTAGAAGAAGAGACGTAAACAAGGATGGACACATTCAACATTTGTTAAATGTCCAAAGCTTATATTCAAAATGACTGTACATATAATTTCTATAAACAAAGAACATTTTCAGATGCACAAGAGGTATGAAAAGGCTCACCACATGACTCTGCAGAAGGCATGGTAAGGAACAGGAGCAGAATAGTGGGCTGCCAAAGAGCCCAACAGTCCTGATAAGAGAGCCGTTGCCAGCAGCAGAGTCCTCATGCTTCAGATGGAGACGGTTTCTCTCTCTGTGGATGAAGAGGGAGTGATGAGAGGATTGTCTGAGTGAATGCTGCCCTTCCCTTACAATCTAATTTATACAAAATATCAGGCTTGTCATGCGGCCCTGTGAAGATCCATTAAATTGAATTGGCGATGGGTAAGACTTGTGTGTCTCGTTCTGATTGTCTTTACTTACTCAATAATATGCTTCGAGTTTTTAATTTGTAAAGACATAATGGATTTCAAAATGTTATATCAAAATGTTTTAAGAATACACATTTCACTCAAGTTTCAGCTGGATACATGGGCCCACAGGTAAAAGACTAGAATTAAATATAAGTTTGTAACAAAAGTATATTTTATATTATTAAAGCTAGAGAGCGGCAGTGAGGCCCTCAAATAAATTAGCTACAGCAAGAACAAGTCCTGCTTGCTTATCTATTAACTGCAATATAAAGGATTTATTTCTACTTGCCTTGCCCTGTTAACATGTGATGTACTCAGTCTTCACAAGATCAAGTTTTATTATGAAAAGCTGCTGAGCTTTATTGTGTGTACTCCCTGATGCTGTATTAATGCTAAATCTAAAACACACTCTTTGACCTGGGTGAAAAGAGTTGATGTAAGTTGTGCAGGATTTAATGTAAGTTTCCTGCATGAAACCTTCTTTTATGTATCTTCTTTGCTGGAATGTTGTTGTGCATCTTAGGGCAGTCACTTTGCTTGAGAAGATAACTATAGAGGTCATGAACGGTACAACAGTTCACCAGTCTAATATCAGTGTATAAAGACACACTCAAGTTGCACTCCTTTATTTACAACACACATTTTCTTTATCCATGGAATGAAGGATTGAAAACCCAATTCTCCCCAGCAGACAGTACACACTCGGCGTCTATCGACACATTATGTAAAACGTATTCTTCTCAAACACATTGAAGTATATATTCTGTGTGTAGCTGTGTAGAAGATCTTGATTGCAATTATTGCATATCTCTCCTCGTCTGTGCGCCCTGCTTCTCTGGCGTATCGACTGCCGTCTAATCAAGCTCATCTACTTCCTTTAATGACTTGCTTTGCAGTGTGTGTCGAGGCAGGGTGAAAAGAGCACTGCGGAGTCTGGAGATAAACAGGGACAGGTCAGAGCAGTGAGACTTTCTTACAATCTCTAAAATGTCAGACTTGCAAGTGTCGAAGAGACCTCTGTGTTTATGCTGTCCTTTTTTAAGATTGAGGTCCACCTTTTTAAAGACGGGAGATATTCACACAGGTGATTTGTTGTTGATGTCGTTGTTGAAGCAATATCAGAAGAAAAATTACTTTAGGGAGAGAATGCATTTCAAACCCACTTTATTGACAGCTTCTCGCCCTCAGTACAATGCAATGCAAGATTTGAGGTGCTGAGCACAGAGGAATAAATACAGCAATAAATATAGTACTGACTCGCATCACTGGTCGTCTTTGATTCACACTCGCCGGAGCCGTCAAACCCTCAGCACAAACACACAAACTGATAAGACATCACACACAACACTGAGCCAAAGGTTGTTGCTTCCTCCTTAAATTACAGTGGTCATGAATCAACATGGACTGGTGGGCGCTGCGAATCTGCACCGCTGCAGGAAAGCAGAGATGCTCCTTTCTTTTTTCAAATGTGTACATTTTCTTGTCATCGCTCTGGATGTCATCTGGAGATTGGAACAGGGAGGACAGACTGGAAAGTAGTCATTTCACATGGTTTAAAAAACATGACAGTTGGATGCGTTTATGCATTGGACAGGAATCTGTCACCTCATTTAACCAGAATGGAAAAGACTGAATGATCCATGGTCAACAGGCTGACATCTTAATTTAACAACGGCATGCATTGCCCTTATGTAGATTTTTCAGTTATTATCCCTTAACAAGACAGATTCAAGCACATCTTATCAAGATTGATCCTGTAGATAGTTTATAGGTATATTTTAAATCTCTATTTCCTTCTGAAGTACGTTATAAAAATGGCATTGTCTCGATATCAACGGAAGATATGCATTTATCCTGTACAGTTTATGGAAATGAACGTTTCAAGTTAAAAAAAAAAAAAAAAAGAGAAAACCAAGAAGAGAGTTTACAGTTTAAAAAAAAATCACATCATGAATGCTCACAGACTGGTCACATGTATGGCAGCAATCAAAAGGCAATACTGCGAGACAATATTTCACGAGGACCCAGGCTGTGTGTTGCTGTGTTTTTATACAATAGACAGTAAGAGAATAGAGCTCCTGCTCAGTGTCGTTCCATCTTACATCAGAGAGAATATGTCACTTAAGTGTCTGTCATACTCACTTATTAATCACATCCTGGTTTATGCTTGATGTCATACAGCTGTAAATACTTCTAACCTCATAGACTGTGATCAAGTTGACGATCATTCGTCATCAGACTTCATTTAGCTGGTTTAGGTTTTCAGATATGCCTGTTAATCCAAACAGTGTTAGACTAGTTTTTATAAACATTTGTTAGTAATTTGTTAATATAACATTAGTAATTTTTTTTGTATAATGCAGTGCATAAAACAACCTGGTTTTAGCATCAGCAGAATTAGGTTTTTTTTTTTTCTGAAATCCAGAATTCAGACAACTACACGTTTCATTTATTTGCCAGGTTATTTTGTCTCATGTTATATTGTTTTTCTTCTTTACAACAATGCCGCCACTTTGCATTCCCTCACAAATGATTTGCAGTAACTAAAGTGTGAAGATGGAGCACTCTGAGCTACAGCAACAGCCACTGATACAAAGTAGATATGCAGTGATGATGAATCCTTTTTTTTTTTTTTTTTTTACAGGAACACTGTCTGAGTCTCATTTGAGTAATGGGTGCATCATGTAGTATGGTTTTACCTCTCTTTCCATTTTCTCTCCTCCTGCCCTGCCTCCAGTTTGATGAGAAATGTTATGTAAACTTACAAACCTTGTAAAAAAGTTGAAATCAGAGACAAAATATGGATCAGTTCAAATGTTACAAACGTATGGACCGACACTGTTCAGAGTATTAAAGTCAAAACATGGCAGTAAAAAAAAAAAAAAAGGGAAGCATGATTAGCTGTTAGCTGTTTAAAACCGACACGAGAGTATGATACAGTACATATATAATGTGGGTAATTACTGTCTCTTCCACCCACACACAACAACTAACCTTCCCTTTCTCTCTCCCCACCCCTAGTGAGGCAGCAAATCAAAGCTGAAAGCCTTCTTGCCATCAGGCTTTTAGCACAGCTTAGCACGTTTTCAAGAGCGATGAACCCTTTGTGGATCAAACTGTTCTTAATTACTGGTTTTGAAAATTGCATTATGGGCAGTAATTAGTGCCTGTTTATATTCCTACTGTGCCCCTCCACCACCCCAGTTTTCCAGGCTCCAGACCAGAGAAACAGAGAGAAAGAGAAGGGAGTTTAAGCAATCCGTGATTAAGGCAGTCTCATAAATATTGCAGAGAGGTTGTTGGCCCCTGTTTTGGAGATAGACCGCCACAACAGTCTTGAGTTTTCTAGCTTTTACTAACGGCTGCTTCATATCCCCACAGATTACAGAGCAGACGGGTGGATGTGAATACCGATGGCAAAAAAGAAAAAAAAATCGGAGTTATGATGCCACAATGTTTCGATCCATGGAGGAAAGTGATCCCATCCAAAACAACATCGAGCGGTAATCCTCTTTGGAAGAAAAAAGGTCATATTTGGTTTGTGTATCAGTCCTCCACACAATGAATAATCTTTTATAGGGACCCTTAATTTAAAAAAAGCACAGCTCAGAGCGATTTAATTAAGAAATGAAAGTAAAGTAGAAGCCTATATCTAATTTGTCCGCTGAAGTTAGTGCTAGGGGGCTTTTTAAGCGGCGTGCAGAGACGAGGACAGACAAAGGTCCCACTTACAGTAGCTTAACTCTGTCTCACTTAATTGAGTTCATTCCAAGATACAGAAAAAAGTCGAAGCAGATACATACATATTAGTTGGACATAGGGGATGTGGCTCCCTCACTGTGTCTTCATTTGAGTTCTGCTGATCGTTTCGCTCCCTTGCAGCTTGCACGTTATGAATTCAAGCAGTTTTAAAATCTGCCAACATGGCAATCCTTATGCACCCTTTACAGTGCTTCCAATTACTGGACTCAGGGCTTCAAGTAATAACTAGACCTTTATCAGAGCTTCACACCCCTCTCTATACAGAGCAGTAACAGTCCCCTCACACCCACTCCTGCATGGAGCGCTTGCAATACAGTATGTGGCGCTGTGTGCTCTTCCTCCTGAACTGGAAAACGGTGTAGAGGAGGACCATCATGCACAGCGCCAGGACGCAGGGGATGGCGATGGCCACTGCTTTCTCTGTGCCCCCCGTGCTGTCCAGTTTGATGACGACGTCCACGTCGCCGTTGTCGTAGTGGCGTTCTTCCGCAACAGGGGGGCTCCAGTCCCAGTCGGGGTCGGCAGGCAGACCGTCGCAGCCCATGAAGTCCCTCAGGATGGACCTCGGGTAGCCAGGCTCCACACGAAGCAACTGGTTGTTGAACTTCCAGTACTCCTTTCCCTTGTAGAAGTATGTAAAACCTGCTGGGACAGAGTGGGGACACAAAGGAATAACTTATTGTATTTATTTTTAAAGAGCCTTGAAAATAAAACACAATCTGCAGCTGAAAAGATCATGTCCATTTGGTTTGCTCCATTGAATGTCGTTACTGATTAATTTTGATTTGACTTAAAACGTAAAAAAACTTAATTTGCTTTCATAGAAGTTGCAAACAAGCAAAAAACTTGACAACGATAATCTAAATTTGGATTCAAAATGACTCAATAAGTACAAAGCACTGTGTGCATTCAGTTCCTTTTTTTTTAAATCATCATTTTGCATATTCCATGAAGAGTTAATGCAGATAATCTGACATATTGCAGCTTTGTTTTTTGTTTACAAAGAAGAGAAATATTTCAGAACATTGCAGCTGATTCATTCAAAACTCAAAGAAAGCAACAAAAACCTGACAAAAACAATTCCAAGTAAGATCTCTCTTAAGTATTAGAGGGATTTACTCTTGATCTGTTACAACTGTTTCTTACAAATTATATTTAACCAATGCTAGTGTGTAAAATGTTCTCTTTTGCTTCATAATTACTGACTGGTCTTGTCTGTTCATAAATACAGATGCTGTACCGTTAGCTTTATCCACAAAAGCCCCCTGTGGAGAGTCAGGGATGCCCTTCCAGATGGTGACTGGTTTGGGATAACCTGGATCCATGGTCCTCATGTCCTCATTGTACCTCCAGTATCTGCAACAGGACACAGAGAAAAACTAGTCATTCCAGCACACATACACACCAGAGACATGAACCACTTACAAACACCTACGTGTGCAGAAACAAAGAGCAATCCAAAGAAGGAGGCCACTTTTTGAGTACACACAAAACAGCACAGTGATAATAGTTTAATTTATCCAACACCTGGACATAGATATAGAAACCATCACATAAGACATATTATATATTATAGTTTATACTGTAGAATAAACTGGCTATTCTACTTCTGTTGACTGTAACATGCAAACCAGTCTAGCTTTGTCTTTCCCTTGAAATGGACCTAAAACAAGGCCGAGGGACAGAACTGAAAAATCATCAAGACAAGTGTGAGAGGATTTTGCACTCTTGAATCCAGGCTTTTTCAAAAGCAGTGCCAGGTGTACAGCATGTTCAGCCAAGATTTCCTTTCTATTGCAGAGGAGAGAAATGCCCACACACTGACTGAAATGTAACAGAAGCAAAAAAAAACATTTATTACATTTGCAGACTGGGACTTTATATATAAAAATGTCACGTGACAAACACCTGACCATGTAGTTTAAAAAAAACTTGAAATAGGTCACATACACACACACACAAAATGTTGATTGAATAATGTCAAGATATTTATTTGAAGATAAACTTCATGCTTTTCAAAAGTACTTCAACTACATCATGAAAATGAATCAGTTATAGTGTAATTTAAAGGTCACATATTATGCAAATTACACAAAATACAACAAATATGTTTCCCTAGCCTGTCTACAGAACCCCCAATTATGATAGAAGTCCATCTTCTGTGTCTTTTGCCTGCTCCACTTTTCAGAAAATGTATGCTTCAACAGGGCGTTTGGAGATTTTCCCTTCATGACATCACAAAGGGCAGTAACCCCTCCCCCAGGTGGGTGACACTCCCACTGCTGGCTGTTTGCTCTGCCCTCTGAGTCTGCCTTTTCACTGTAAACATTTGGGCATGGAGCGAGAAAGCCCTAGCCACCCAAGCCCTTCCAGAGGGTCTTAGTCAGAAACAGCTCACTTACATTTAAAGGTACAGACACAGAAACAGCCTGTTCTGAGCAGGATTGAAATAGAGGGGTTTATAGGCATGATCAAATACAGGATAAGAGTGGATTTTTGGCAACAAAACTTCACAGACACGTTTTGGGGAGGTCCGAGACTTATTTAAACTTGTTGAAAAGGAGTATAATATGTGACCTTTAAGTAGGATTTCCCTCTGGGATCTTAACGGAGAGCTGATGTAGTGAAACCTTAAACCTGCACTCTTTCTCATGGCCAGCAGGGGGGACCCCACTGCTTGCAAAATGAGCACTCTTTTCACTTGAAACAGTTTTTTAAGTTCAGTTTATGGTCTAACTCACGTGTTCTTCAATACAGCTGGGAGTTAATGTTCTGAGTTAATGTTCTAAATAATGCTTCCATTGAGAGCAAAACGACCAAAAAGCAGGATATGCTTTAAATCGTAGTACCCTAAGGTTGGATCCTCAAAAAAGGGTGAGTGCAGCGTACCGATTAATCAGTATCCTTAATTACAGTTACACCTTGCTGACCAAGCTAGTGCTAGCTGCTTGCTAAGCATTTGCTAACCCCTCACTTATTTTCATCTCACCCCTCATTACCGAATATCACGTCTAGTTCCAGAAAAGCCAAGACGGTAGCAGCTCAATGCTCATCTTAACATTTCAAAACAGTAGTCCACATACCAACAGCTCAAATCTCAGTGGGCTTCGTCGCCTACTAGCACAAAGACTTTACTGATTCTGAATTTGATATGGCAACCAGTTGGGGACTTCTGTGGGTCATAATTCTTCGCATAATAACCGACTGACTTTATTCACGTAACCAGAGAAAGCGTCCGATCAATCATCCATACTGTGTTTCTCTGCCAGACAAATCTGTTTCAGGGGTTGTTGTGATTGATCTGCCTCTCATACCCTGGTGCTCACACACATTAATCTCGCTACACAGTGTCATTTCTTGGAATTAGAACAAACACCCTGTCACATATCAGAGAGAGAGAGAGAGCGAGGGAGAGAGAGAGAGCGAGAAAGAGAGAGAGAGATAAAATCGTGTTCAAGACGATGGACAGAACGTCCTGTTTGTCATGATGTGCAGCAGCAGGTTGAGGGATGACAGTATCATGACAAAGCATTTTGTCAAGCTTTCACCACACGGTCCCCTGACCTCTTCGTATATGATTTATCATGACAGCTGAACAAACATGTGAGTCACACTGTCCAGACTCAATTTTAAGATCACTGCGATAGATAAACGCCGGATCCTCTGATTTTGGAAGGACTGCCTCGTTTCATGCCCAACAGCATGTAACTAACTAAAACCATGAATTAACCAAGAGATGTCTTCAAGTAGACTGAATTATTTAACAACTTCAGAACTTCTGCTCTGCCATCAGGTCATTATGGATTAAAAAGCCAATGAGCAGAATTGATCAGCTGTTGAAAAGGCAGCTTTCAAAAGCAAGATGTAGACGCTTAGAAGCAGTGAAAGACGCCAGGAAATCGCTGCCAAAAAAACGCAAGATGTATTGATCCACAAACCTGCAAAAATAATTAAATACCTCAAGAAAAAACAGCCTCTACAATCATTAAAAGCTCCAAAGGCAGACAGATTGCATCAATAAAGAGGAGCGGAATAAAAGGTGAAAAATTAACTCTAATTATGACACCAGATTAAAATGTGTACTGTGATGTTTTTATTCACAGTTTGTTAACACACACACACAAAAAGAAAAACGTTTATCGACAGGAGAAAAAGATTCCAGCCATCACTCATAGTGATTTTTTCGATTGATCCAACAGCTTAACTTCTAAACAACGCTCATAATCGTTCCACACCGACCTGTCTCCTTTGAAGAAGTAGGTTTTGGCGACATCCTCCCACCAGACAGCTGTCTCGATACTCTGAGTGGGCATGCCGCTCCCGAACAGCGAGATGTCCTGAGGGTACGAAGGCTGGAGAGTTGTGTCCTTGAAGACCCAGAAACGGTTTCCTAAAATACACACACACACACACAAAGTTAGGCGACTCTGGGACAGAGACTTTATCATAAAGATGACCTTAAAAAAGTACACTGCAGGGAAACACTGCTAGCTCTCATTCAGGACCTTCTGTGTGCTTCTTCTGTCAGTCAGTCAAATCATTTTCTATTCATGTGATTTCGAAGGTAAGATGTATTAACTCGTTGACAAAATACTGCACGGCAGCAAATCTATGCGGTGTTATCTTTAATACAATAAACAACAAGATGAGACTCCGCACGCAACTCCGCTGAGACTTGTTGTTTTCATTTTTATTGACGCTATTGTTGCATTTAATTCAGTTTGATCATGAGTGCCTCAGGCGGAGCGAGGAGAGATGCTTTGCCGTGGCGCGCTCACAGTAAGTAGCAAGACACTCGCACACAGACAGAGAAGCAGCTAAGTCCCCCTGAGTGAATAAATAAAGCATGAGGCACTCTGATCCCACTGGGTGACAGATGTCATGTTAATCTGCCTGATGGAAGGATGGATGGGCTGTACTGGACCTGCATCCTCTCTGTTAGCGTAGAGAATGCATAACAACCTCAGAGTGAACCAGTACGATGTCACTGATGTACGATGAAAGATTACTGTTTGTGAGAGGAGCTCACATATACACATTTAACTGCAGAGGTTGTATGTTATAAAATAACTGTTTTTTGTTTTTTTTGCTTTTTTTCATTTGTCAACAAATATATTATCAGGGTGTCGTGGAAAAATATCATGACTGAAATTTGTTAGTGTTTTTTACTTAGAATTGAAGGAAGAATGCTTATTCATGTTTTATTTTGAAGGAGACTTTTTCTGATTGTGTGTGTTTACTTGCTGTATTTGATGATTGTAACCACTGAATTAAAACAAATAAAAACATCTAATCCGTAAAATAAAACTAAAGGTATCCTGTGGATGTTTCGTTTTGATGATTTCACAAAAATTCCGATTTGGTCAAATGTATTTCCTTGCTTCTAACACATTAACAGAGCGTATCCTTTCAATATTGTAAATCATTGATTGTTTACATACATGTTTGCTAACCAGCAGGCTTCTTCTTCATTGATTTTGTTGCAGCTCTCAACGCCTTAACAGCATCACTTTTTTAATCAACTGAACAGTAAGAAACAAGTGACAGAAAAATGTTCCTTAACTTTGTGCTCTCACATGTTCATGTGAGCGCTACAGCTTATTCACAGGATCACCTAACATTGACCCAATCATATGGAGCGTTGCTCTTTAGCACTACTAGTGGTCACTTCAAAACCTACTAGGGTACCAACACACACACCACACATATACACTGTTGCTTTAGTACCTTTAAAAAAGACGAACTTCCCTTCACTGTTTTCATACACGGCATCGATTTTGGGAGGCAAGCCTTTCCAGAAGTAGTTGATCTGCATGGGGTAGCCTGGAACTACTGAGTTGTCCCGCACCCTCCAAAACCACTGGTCCTATAGAAGTAGAGGATGAAGAAAAATCATCATCAACATCATCTCTGCAGAAAACTGCTTAAAAAGCAGCTCAAGCTGATGTTTTCATTTACCTTGAACACAAAAAGCTCCTGTCGGAGGATGGCCAGGGTGTTGAAGCCTCCGTCACAGATGTTGGGTTTGGAGTTGGGGTTGGAGGGCTTGGCCCCCTGAGGAGGGCGATGGGGTCTGGCGTGGCGGTCATGTTTACGAGGGTCTGAGGGAGGGTGGAAGCGAGGTGGAGGGACTGTGGGCGGGGGCCTGGTAGGCTGTGGTGCTCTATCTGGTGGACCTGAAAAAAGAAAAAAGAAAAAGATCGTCCTTGCAGCTCTTTTTGGTTGCACTGTTGCATTTGTCTGTCCAGCTTTTCTGTGTTTGTAAGATTGATCTACGTTTGGGTCTTTGCCAAGAGGAATATTGCATAAGTTAACACTTTTTTTTGACCAAAGCATCTTCAATTTTGGCACAGACTTAGTCCTTAGCTCTGTTTTCTGACTCATGTTGTATTCAAAACACCTGTTTGCTGTTCTCTTTAACAGCTGACAAGACAAATGCTGTTTACTGGCATTCAACCCGACATTACTCATTGTTGCCTCAGCATTTGTTATGGGAACTTAGTCACTTCAAGGCTTTAGTATGGTGAGATTTCATAATATATCTCCAATGAAGTTATGAAACAATAAAATGCAAATGCTTTGTAGCACTGACTGAAAGTCGCTGGACTCTCTGGAGATGTTTGACCTTGTTTATCCTCTACATCCACTCTATTATACAGAATAAGAGACTATTATGAAGAGCTACCGTTACCGTAGATTTTCTGGATGCCCTGTAGGTCATCATGAGGTAGTTTGAAGTTCTCTGTGTCCATGTATTGGTAGAAAGGAGCCATGATAGCAGTCGGGTCGTTCGAATGTTCCAGACCGAGAGCGTGGCCAAGCTCGTGCACAGCAACCAAGAACAGGTCGTTACCTGGAGGAGAAGAAAAAAAAACACTGTGAGTGCAAAATCACTCAAACATCAGATAGTACAGCACACAATATGTGCCAGGTGGAGACATTAATGTATATGATATATTCTGTTATGAAACAGGAGTAGAGAAAATACATTCAAAGACAGTAAAAAGCAAAGAAACACATCAACAACAACACAAAGAAAAACATTTAACGTGGACAATCAAGCATCTGTGAAAATACTCAGCATCTATATATATACAGCCGCCTGTAAAGGCTATACATTATTGTCTTACACATAGAATGGCTATTGTGCCAGGTACTACACTAAAAAGGAAGTCGAGCTCATAACGCAAATGTGTTTCAGGAATCCAACAAAGAGATTAGACAATAAGATATGTGGGAGCATGTGTAGGCACATTGCATAAAAAAAACAATAAAAAAAACAGCCTACGCACTAGTCCTCTGGCAATTCCTTGATTATGAAATAAACCAACAACTGTTTTGATAACCAGTTCACCACTGAAGTTGTTTAAGAAAGCTACCTTTAGAGATTTCCTTAAGAGATCTTAAGTGCCTCTGTCTCACTTCTATGTTGTCGATAAAACCTGTAAATGTAAAGGTAAACATTCTCTCTTTGAGCTTAAGATCTCATCTATCGGTGACATTTTATAAACAAACCATTAAACACAGAATTGACAGGTAACCAGTTGATTAATCAACAATGAATCTAATCACTACTTGCAGCCCTCTGGTCCAACAGTTTCTTGTATTGAGCTGATGTGGTTCAATAGTGCAAGTAAAGATTTACTGGAGGTAAAATTGCAAAGCATGACCGTTGTTTTTCTTCTTTTCCTCTGTGAGAGACGATTAGCCACATGTGCACCACAGCTCACAGGGAGCAGAGGGACACACACTCTGCTGTTTGCTGCCCAGAGCACAAAAAGATCAGAGCAAACATTCTTATAATGCACCGGAAGACACACGACTGTTGGCATGGCACATGAAAACATTGTGGGTTTGGTTCATATATCACAATCAAAAACATGCAGATACATGGGAAAGGAAGAATGTCATGGGTAGTGTCGTTGGTCAGCACTCAGCTCGTGGTGTCAAACTGATTTAGAGAGAAGTACGCCGTTTACATACAGCTTGTGACTGAAGCTGTCCCCAGGAGATTGCTGCCCTTTAAAACACGATATGCACTCCTGCCGGAAGCACTGCAACGAACAACCACTGACCCCCAAGCCAGCAGCTAAAAGGTTACACCTCCCCTTCCCCCCCCATTAATCTCACACAGCCAGCCTCTTCCACCTCACCAAAACTGTCCCACAAGGGCTCCCAAGAGACAGGCCCAAGCTACCATTAGCGCACATGTCAACATGCAACATTTACAATTACAACTGCTGCTGTGAAAGCCCATTAAAGGTTGCACGGCTTTCCAGACACATAAGCGGAGACAGGAGCTTTTCAGATTCAGCCTCGATGCTCCATGCAGATAACCGTAGGACACCGCGCAAGGGTGAACACGAATTTGACTCGGGAGTCTGAGACAATTACCATTAAGAGTTTGAGGAGAAAAAAAGAGAGAGAGAGAGTGAGGGAGAGGGCGGGCGAGCAGCTGATGGGTGGCAAGCAGTTTCCCAGAACAAACACAATGTGAGCTGTTTCCCTCCTCTTCCACTAATGGGAGGATAAAATGGAAGTGTATTGCTCTGTATGGGTATTAGCAAAGTAGCCTGGTGGTGCTCTGACAAGCCTGGCACCCTGTAGGTAAGTTAATTAGAGAGTGTGTGGATACACAGCTAAGAAAAGGCGTCTTCTCTCTCTTGAATGATTCTCCGTGCCTCCTCCTATTTATGCTGAAGCACCATCCGCAATAACATGACCTAAATGAATCGCTGATCACATTACCTAAAATCTCATATAACACAACATGACATGACACAACATAACTCTGCCACCTTTTATACCTATAACAAAAAAAACAAAAAAAAACCTATTAACCTAGTACACCGATCATTTCACAACACAACAAATCAAAACAAATCACAAGAATACAAAACAAAACAACCAACTCACTAATCTGAGGTAACCTGTTAAACTTGTAACAGCATGACAGAACGACACAACACAACAAAAACATGACACAATAATTACATTTTAAGTCGACCTATTAGAGCTACAATAGCTCGTCACTATTTGGCCCTAAAGGCAACATAACAACAAACAACACAAAAGAGCATCATGTAGCATCATGTAGCAAAACCATATAATATAACTAATACTCACTTTCCTTTATGACCTATGAAGTGGCAATCTAGCAACCAAAAAAAACCACTGGAGGGAACTTAAAGTAATTTCCAACTCATTTAACTCTTTATTGCACACACACACGCACACAAACGATTAAAAAATTGTGTGGCTTCTTCTGATTCCTGATTCCCCTTCCCCAGTCACATGACTCTCTTTTCTTGCTGCCTGTGGCTGTGATTACCGATTAGGTGCGCAGGTGATGTAGCAGCGGAAAAAAATGTCTCCATGCAATGTTTACCTGACTTACCACACACACACACACACACACACAATAACACACACATAAAATGGATGACAACAACCTAAAAAAAAAACACAATACAATGCCACAGCACACCAAACTAGGGTTGAACAATTTGGAAAAAAAATGGCATCGCGATACATTTTCTGTCTGCGATATATATTACATAACATAACCCATTATAATGGCCATACCATCATGCTGAGGGTACTGTAAATGTGTTAGGTGATCAAATGAAATAATTCATAGCATAATAAAGCATAACAAGACGTTGCATTCCAATATTTTGACTTCTACTTTTGGTATTAGATATACATCAGGCAGTTGTTTGCTCCCTGTGTTACCTCTCTTGAAGTACACCACTGAGATACATCAAATTCACTACCAGCAGAGTAGCCATAATCATGTGCCAGCAAACGACGTCTTAAAATAGCAAAGCTTTCTATCCTGTCATCTGAAGAGCTTATTATGCAGGATAAAAAAGAAAAAAAATCAAAATCCTGACAGATGGGGTGATGCGTCTTTACAGAGCACAGCCCAATCAAAGACGTCTCTACATTCTTTGTTTTTGGTTAAGCATCCCTCTTACTCTGTGATAGCATCTCTGTCATATTGCCCTCCTGCCCAGCCATCTGCATTTCCAATATATCCTCTCGATCAGTCCTTATCTCTCTCCTGATGACTTGTTTCTTTCTCAGCCATACTTCTTTATTTGGTCTCTCCTTGTTTTGCCTCATCTCTCTCTTTTACTGAAGGATCTCTGTTGCCTTTCCTTACCCACACACCAACCACATTCTCTTTTTAAAGATCTAAGTTAAACCCCACTTTTTCTTTGATTTACCATCATGGTTGGGGTTCCCGAGGGTCCAGGGCTCGTCTGAGTCAAAGTGCGTGTCCCCTCCGATGCCTGGGCCGGGAAAATAGGCGTGGGCGAGGAACCCGCCCTCCCCATCGAATGGCGAGCTGTCGCCGTGAAAACCTGAAGCGAAGATGATGGTGATGTCCACGTCGCGCCTGCCAGTCTCCAGGGCGCTGTATGGAACGGCCTCGAAGCGGAGGGGAGTCACACCCTGCCACACGTCAAATGCCCGCCGGATGGCATCATGGGTCTCTCGAGCACCCACCTTTGGCGTGACATTTTTGATGCTGTGGATATGAAACAAGGAAAATGATTATAAAGTGGGAATATAAAGCGAAGAAGAAGAAAACACTCTGAAGGTTGTAGTTCCTAGGCTGTGTTTATCGTAGGCCAGCATGATGTAAAAAACATACAATGTGCTACAACATTGCTCATTATTGTGATAACAATATGAAGTGTGAAAATAATTCATATTTATCTTTAACTCACAGTTTCTGTGTCAACCTGTTGAACTCAATGTGTGAAACAATACCTATTTTTTGCAACATGCCCCTCCTGATTCTAAAAAATAAATGCAAAAAGCATTTTTTAAACACTGAATCTGAGGGTAGCTGGTAGCTTAGTGGAGCTTTATTTGACTGCATCAAAATGACTTGAAAGCACGGCCATTATACCTGGGCCTCACTTACCTCTATCGCTAAAGATTACACATGCTGATTAAAAAAGCATGGCTTGTTTACATTAAACTTTATCCTGTTCTTATTCATTAATCAAATTAAATTCATTGATAAACTCAGATTTCTCCAATGCGTTTTTTTGTGAATGCTCATATTGCAATGACACGATGTTTGTGCAGGCCTGATTTCATCATGTGAAAAAGTACACATCATTCCAAACTAGCGGGAAGAAAATATACAAGGGAAGCAGAAATAAAGTACACAGTCACACTGCATTAAACCAGTGCCTTGTTATCCAATTAATTTCAAAAGAACAATTTTTACTTCTCAAAATGAGGAGACGCTAAAAAAGAAAAGTTGCACTTGACACAACTATTTCAAGCCAGCAGCTTTTAGTGAACTTTTAACATAGGAGTCGTTATCAGTCCCTGGCAGGCAGAGAGGAATGGGAAATCTTCTCCCTCTCTCTCTCTCCACTCATTTTCATGAATAAAGTGCAGTCAGCAGCAGCAGCAGCAGCACTGATTGACATTCCATTAGGAGAGGTGGCTCATCAATTCAAATTTGTGGAGGAAGGAAGGATTTGAATAAATTGACAGCGTTATCGTCTATTACTGCTGTAACCTGTCAATTTGCAAGTTGTGCCAAAGACGCCATTTATCAGTCCTCCTCAGAACCCATTAAAAACTGGAGCTTAATCAGGCGAGATAAGATGAGAGTTTGCATATTTCTGCTGAGATTAGCCACAATTTAAACAGTTTTTAAATGAAGGAGAGAAAAGCCTCCAATCTTCATGCTACTCAGCTAAGATTGTTTGTTTTGTTTTTTTGAAAAGAAAAGAACAAATGAAAGAGGGTTAAAAAAAAAATGCCTTATCTAGTTTTCCATTCTGCAGGCATGTTATTTATACACTGAAATGTACACACACTCACAGCACACAGGGGTGTATGTGTGTGTTACTTTGAATGTGTGATTCTGACTTTATTTTTGTGTGTGTGCACCCACATATGTGATGTGCGCAGGCTGTCTCTATGACAATAGAGAGCATGTGACACCAGAGGGAGATGAGAGACGGAGGAGAGCTGTGAAAAATTAACAATGGCACATCCAAACCTTACAACAAGCGCCGGAAAAACTCAATGGTCGCCATGACAACTGCCTCCACTATCTCTCACCTGTAGGTGATGTGTGTACGCTGCCATTTCTGTCCTGTCAGCGCGTATCTCCGCTTCCGCGACCTCGAAGCACTTTTAATTTTGTCAGGAACTCCACAACGAGGCTTTTGCATCCAACTTCAAGACAAAAATCAAAAGAGAAAAGAAGAAGAAGAAGAAGAAGAGGAAAAAGAAGGAGAGGTGTGAATTAAGTTTGCTACATGAAAGTTTACAGGCAAACACCATCACAAGACAAACATACAGCACTGAAGAGAACTCAGTAGTTCTCTTCCTGACAGGTGACAGATAATCAGAGCAGCAAAAAAAGTGCAAAATGTAACTAAACTACTACAAACTACAGCAACTGATACAAGTGTGAGATCAAAACATGTGAATGAGAGCTGCAAAGAAATTCATTGTTGTTGTTTTTCATTCATTCACCACGTAGGGTTAACACAAGTACAGAAAACATGTAATATGTAGGCAAAGCATTTGTTCTCACCTCAGCGTGATATCACTGCATCATCATGCAAAATGAGAAGAAGGAAAAGTGTTAAAACCTGAGCCTGAGGTTGCATCAGGCGAGGTGACGGGGGGTGAAAAGAGCATCTCTATTTCTGTCTCTCGCTAATTCATTGAAATATTGATAACTACTCCTGCTGCATTCTAAATGAATGAGCAGAGAATTTGCATTGGTGTCACATTATCAGCCTAGTGCATAACAGCTAGTGTTTTTCTTATGTGTGCATACTCACTCCTTGGTTCTCTCATCCAGTGTCCCTGTGACATTGAGGCCATAGACCCGCTGCATGGCAGCAATGGCTGAGTGCATGGTGTGGGCAGAGCGCAGGACGGACATTCCCGGTTCTGTGTGGGGAAGGTAGCCATACCTCTGTAGCCATCCCTGCAAGAGGGCGGGAGAAGAAGAAAGATGTGGGCCTTCAAACTGTGGCTATTTTAAGAACTGTTTCACACTCTTTGTCTTTATTAGAAGGTGGGAGGGAAAATGTGACATGGGGATAGAGATGACAAGCCAAGAGCTGAAATCCCATAAAGGATTTTGTGCATTCCATTTTTGCAAGTTTGAAGTCGTAATTCACATGTATCAACAGTGTGTACAATACATCAAAGTGAAAGTCTATTCTGTTTATTTTGTCTGATGAGGCTACATGATATAATATCAATCTGTGACTCATGTTAACATTTTAAATTACAATGATATGTCATGCAAAAAATAGATACACATTGAAGTGTGAATATTAGTTAAATGTTACCGTTCCTGTGTGTTCCTGCTGTTTTGCAATTTTTTTATTTATTTTTTTACAGTACCTGCTGTGTTAAAAACATTGTCTGTCCTGAATCCACCTCAAGGTTTTTTGTCAACCACATTTTTCTCCCTCTTCTCTCCTTTCTCAGCCATCGTGCTCAATAACCTCTCAGTTTCCACCAGATTGACAAAAACTAATCTGAGCCGACTCTAGCTGAGGCTACATCTGATTGGCAGAATCATTCTGGCGGGGCTCATGTACGCGGGGCTCAATCTGCTAAACGTCCCAACGTTTGCATGCTGTGTGTCACAGAAAGGTATATATATTCTTTTTTATAATTCAGGCAGTCTTTTTTTTTTTGGCACATGCGAGAATGATGATTTGTATGTGATTTACTGAGCATTCAAACTTCTCATTAGCTGAAGTTATCTGACTCTCCTGAATTTGTGTTTGATTAGATTTGGTCCCATACACATCCGTATTGAAACATTCCCTTTTTCAATATTCATATTTCACTTATTGCTGCGAGTCGAACCCAAACACAGTCATTCCTCCTCTGCATTGGAGTGAGTTGAGATTGATGGCACAAAAACAGTAGCTGTTAAATTAGTACAATGTGTTATTTGTTGAAATACTATTCTTTGGCACACCCGGAGTAAAATATGAATATGACTTAACATGTAATATTCTGCATCTGACAAGAGGTGATTAGGTTACCACCACTATGTTTATTTTTTCTTTAAATGGAGCGCTTAAATGAGCTGCTCACAATGTCCCATGTTTGTAGGATTTCATGAAGTAAACATTGCATGTAAATGTGTATTGCAAGTGCAACTGTTTTGCATTTGCATCCCTTCTAGTGACCTTAGTCAGTGTTTGTGTCTTGCGGCTGCTGGTCAGTGTACATGTGCAGGTCTTTTGGCCCTGCCTCCTCTTGTCCTACAAAGCGAGAGGTCGGCTACATACAGAAGGGAGAGGTGAAACCGAGCATCATGTAGGGGTCACTGCCAGGCAGAATCAAACCTGAAGCAGAGGGGCCATGCGGTGCCCACGCTATCCACAGCTGTTTGCACGCCAACCAGCTGCCAACCCATCACCACTCAGCCTATGAGAAATGCTCCAGATAGCTAATCTGACTAGCTGTCTCCATCCATCCCTCCCCCTTCTGCCTGTATCCCTCTTTCTGCTGAGCTAAACGCCTTGTTTATCCCTTCTTTTTTCATCCTCTCTCTCTCTCTCTCTCTCTCGCTCTCTCTCTCTCTCTCCCTCCTGTGGGTGTGTTTTCTGCGTGTGTTGTGTTTGTTCAAAGGCAGAGATCTCCGAGAGAGATATCAGGCACATTCCAGTGAACCATAAAATTGAATAATGATGTCTGTGTATGTGTGTGTGAGATCCAGCCTCAACAATTTCATTTCTTCGGATTGGTGGGAGGGGAGCCAGAGGTGAAGATGAAAATGACATCTATTAATAAGGCACAACAACAAAAAAAAATCCTATTATGTAACTTGGTGTCTGTAAATGTTTATAATCTCCTCCAACACTATGATGCTGCCAAAGCGTGTCTGAATTCATATTGGCCTATCAAAAAAAAAAAGTGAATCTAACAGTGAGAACATCTCGCTGTAGGGCAAACTCTGCTAAAATAGCCCAATCATATCTAGGTTGCACATTGGGGATCAGTGGGCTGGATCAGCTCGGCTCATGGACCCGCAGTGCAATAAAGTGAGCATCCTTCTGTTCCACTGCACTCTCCAAATGAGGAATATTTTCGTCTTAAAAGTGCGTGAGCTGTCCTGATAGGCTTACAATACATCCATGTTGTTCTCCGTTATGGTAATGGAGCTCACGGATATATAGCGTGGGGGAGACGACATGTATGTTTTTTGACGCCGAGGCAGATGATGTGGGGATGAAGAGAGCGCGGTCATTTGTGATAACTAGGGGAGGCAGGGAAGGCCATTTGTCTTACCTCAACGCTGAACTGATGATGATCCTCCTCACCGGACACGGCACACGAAATCCAAAGCAAAAGATGCAAGCAGACAGCTGCCGCGTGAACGCAATCCGATGGTTTTCTTGTCCTGGAGGATTCTAAGGTCATAATGACCTGTTTTTCCCGAGTGTTTATTAGAAGAAGCCGCCCGTCTGCTTTGGCTCTTGTGTCAAATGAAAACCATCAGGCGAGCTGTCAAGGCAGGATTCAGATGGAAACGAGGAAAAATAGGGCCAACGCGCTTTGCAAAATCCCGAAGGCGACATAAAAATGCTCCGATGTCAAGCAGAGAAAACGCGGCATGTTAGACCCGCTGCCCTCGCCATTCTTATTTACATCAGGGGCTACATCTATCCAGCAGCATCAATGGCCATGTACAGTACCCAGTCTGCGCAAGATAGGCTCCCTCCCGACTCCACGCCTGCGCTTTGATTTCTCACACGGCGCAGCGCTTCTTGGCAGCATCACAAGAGCTGCCCTACAGAGTGCATGAGAGATGAAACACCATGCCTCAGAACTGCCCGTACGTTTCACATGGCAAAGGCCGACGATCTGTGCAATTTTAAGGCGCACTTCTGCAGCCAGATGGTTTGACATTAAATTCCTGATAGTGAAAAAAAATTAAAAAAATGGCCTAGATCCAGATTAGAATTACTTATGCAACCTATATTCCTCCGCTGATGCCTTTATAACCCTAAATGGTAGGTTTATATATCTATGTATTTTATTATGAAAGAAAATAGGCTACCCTGCAAATAATAGCCTAAATAAATCAGGCTTTTTTTTTTTTTATCTGCATCATTATCATCTAAAGGCCGATTAGATACAAGGACAGACAAAAGCCGACCATTATCTCTAATTTTCAAACACTCAGCTTAAAATATGAGTTCACTGTTTCCCGTGGGTTGATCGCTACCCTGAAGACCCAGAAAACATGACCTAATAGCTTCTCGAGACATTTATAGCTCCTACCGCTCTTTATAGCCCAGAGATGGTAAAACAAGCTGCCTTAAGCCACCAGGCCACACGATGGCGGTGTTTCACTGAGGAATTGTAGCCGCCAGCTGTTTGCTTTAAAACCCTCTGAGGACACTGAACACACCGGAACCTAAATCCACCCCAACACAAACTAATGAGCCGAGAAAGAGACTTGACTTTGATTTGATGTGACAGGCGAAGAGGCACATAGAAAGGAGTGAGAAGAGGGAACATTTGTCATGAGTACTTTTTTTTAATTCTATTTTTTAATTAGCATCTAGTGTGGTTAATGCGTTCTTTTGGCAATAATATTGTGCATAAATCACAAATTGTTAAAGATAAGGACTGTATTTCTATTTCAACCAAGTAAAGATAAAAGAAACAATCCAATTTGGTTAAAAAATAATACAAATTCAATTAAGCAGGCCTATTCAAAATGTACTGAGCCCTTGAAGTCCCAAAAAGTGAAAAAAAAACGTTTTACTTTTACTTTTTGGAACTACAGGGGCTCGTAAAAATGTACCTTAATGCAAATTATTGAACAAAGAAAACGCTTCCAAAAGTGAAGCCTACAACAGCAATCAAAAACGATCACAATACAAATCAAAGTGACCTCAGGGAGCTGTGGAATTGCAAAATACTGTGCCTCAAACAGGAATGTAATGTTACTATTTATCTTAGACTCAAATAAAGTTAAGCAGATGCTGCTGTTGTTGCCTAAACAGGAGTAACAGCGATACTTGTTTTACCTAGCAGAGGCCCACAGCGACAGATGTAGACAGACTTTTAGCACACGATGTTAACTTACAGAGTTAATGCAGCTCAGTCAGACAGCCCTCTAGAAGAAGAAGAACACGGTTTGTTTATGTTCTCACATCGCATAGTGTGATACAAGACAACCAATGGAATTGCACAAGCTGCAGAGGCCAAAGGTCATCATTATCGGTGGAACATCATTATAGGCTACATTAAAAAACAAAACACAAACCAGAAATATGTTCCCATTGCATCTGGCTATCACATTGTCTAATCCCACTAATATGAAAAAAACAAAACTGTTTGCTCTAGTTGGAGCGATTTCATGGTCCACTAAAGCTACCTCCAGATTGGTATACAACTTTAAATTTTACAGTCATGATCTAATTCACTTTTACAAGACAGAAAGGTAATGATGTTCATCATGCCAGGCTGACACATTTGTGGTTTGGCAGTTCTTTTAGTGAACACAGTCCAATGTGGCCTGATGCTGCTGTAGCCAGTTTTCTGACGGTCAATCTTTTGATCCCTTTTATTCTTTCCTTTGAATGACTCAGAGGTTCCTGTAGTGTGTGCCACTTTCTCCCCAAAGATCTGAATGGATCTGATAGAATGGGCCAACCGTTAACCGAAGAGAACCATGGTATGGCCAGATTTGTGAATGCAGACACTCACCCCAACTGTGCCACAGTCAGCTCCAAACCACTTCAGTGCACTCTGGTAATCATAGCTCCATTACCTCTAAAGGCCCTCATCAAAGTGTAAAATATCACACCTAGCTGAGGTTTGAACCTGATGGAGGATTCAGATCATAATCCTGTCTGAGTTCATCATCATTTTTGAGTCTGACGGCCATATTGTCTTTAAATGACCAGGTACCAAGAGGCTGAAGAAGAATCCATAATGCCCACACACAGAACCTTTAAAGACGTAGCCTATAGAAAGATTAAGTAAAATGAAACTGCTTATATAAGTTAAAAAGACTTAATTCATTATTTTATACTGTAATATACTACAGTTACAGCAAGATACAAACTAACAATATTGTTTGGAACGGTACTGATTTTGCAGTGGCAGTATTCACTAATTTCAGTGTTTGAGCAAAAGAATGAAAAGAGACTCTTTCTGCGTAGTTTGCTCTGATTTTGCACAGCCGTGATTATGCAAAAACACTCAAGAATATGTTTAATTATTAAACATTATCAATCAGGGAAGAGCACCATCTTAGCATATACAAATCTATACTACATGTACTGCAGACAGAGCTGGGAGTACTGTAAACAATGGAGTTGAGATTTGCTCTACTTAGTGATTTCATATCTTCTAATAACCCCAAGTATTGTTTTATACATTGAATATTCTGTAGTAAATCCTCACATCAGCACAGGGTTGTGTATGCAACACTACCTTTATATGTTTTTTATTATCTTTTGATATATGTGTGTGTATATGTACATTGTATGCATGTATTCCGTACACTGATCATGTGACAAAGGTTTATTTCCTTCTGCTGGGCTTTTGTGAAGCACCTGTGATTTGAAATGCTTCATGAACCGATATTCACTATTTTTATTGTGACACATGTACATCAAACACACGTAGAAACCCATGCTCTCACATTGAAAACATTCGTCTTTACCTTTAAAATCAACACACACTTAATCTTGGGGGAATTATTCCCATTACTCATAACTGTGAGCGAGGTGTACCGTGTTGTGAAACAGGATGTGACTGGTTGAGGAGTTGAGAAAGGGATTCCTATTGGATTAAAACAGGTTCATTCATTTACTCTGAGGTGTTTACTGTGTAACCCAATGGGCTGCCATGGAGACCACATGCTCTGGCAAGTGAACATGGCTCGGATCCAAACACCGGGGGCCTTACCAGGAAACAGCAAAAAAAACGAGAGAAAAAAAAAACATACACGTGTTTCATCGCTCTGTATAGTGCAGAGAAAACAAAGTATGTGAAAGTTTGTTTACTCACGATAACAAAACAACAACTCATTCATACATTCAAATATTTACCATCTAAGTTTAGCTGGAGGAGAATTTCCTTCAGGGGGGCAGATGGTGGGATACAAGGTAATCTCACTGGCTTCTCTAATTAAACCTAATTAATTGGTGCTTGACAGTTTGTTCTGAGCGCCTGAGGCTGTTCAGCCATACCGCTGAAAACAGGATTTAGGGAGCTATTATTAAAGCTTGTATGGATTCAGTCAAATCCAATCCAAGTCCAAGTTCTTAACTCCCATGTCAGAGATATGGCAGACGTGAGGAGAGCTTAAAATAGTGCAGAGACTCACAGAAAGGCCAAATTTAAAGCATAGTTTTCTGACATTTTTTCGATCCCTTGTAAACTATATTGACTAAATGTTCTACACTTGTGGATATGTTAAAGGTGTTCAGCTTTGTTTCATTTATAAGGGCATTAACTGAAGAGTTCTGCCTCTAATCTCCAAAAGAATAGCAATACTCAATTAGATGCCACAATTTCTTTTTGTAAATATGTGAAACTGGAGTGCCAAACTTTGAAATACTGCTCAGCCGACAACAAGATATATGTCTTTGTTTAAAAGAGCAAGGTTGCAGAATTATAGTTGAAAAGAAAAGTCCCTATTTGGATTTATTTTTTTCAACAAACTCTCGCCTTTTACGCCCCTTTAATCGCAGTCTTTCAAAAACGATTGCTGTGACACAATCAACCCAACTGCTTCTCTTAGCTGATAAATTCATTTTGGATTCCTCATGTTTATTGCCGAAGCGCGACGTGATGATATCTGTGTGCATGCAGCAGATGTTGCATCGTTGATTGACAGTGAATCCTACATGGTCCCATATGTTGTGCTCATCTCTCCTGCTCCTGCAGCACCTCCTCTCTCTATCTACGAGACACTCCAAATGTTCATGTTGTGATAGTTGGGGGATGGTATTTTTCCTGTGCATGTTTTTTTTCTTCTTCCATATATATTCTGAGAAGTTGCTGGTCCATCTGGGCCCTGTCATGCAGATCAGTCTTCAGACCTCCAGGATAACGACTCATCTCCCCTCACAGCACCCGACCTTTCTGCTTCACTGAACCACTTAATAGGACTTTTTGTGTAAACATCATTCTCTTAGAGGTCTTCTCATGTTTGTTATTTATACCTGAAATACCATAACTCTTAAATATGAGTTGTACGTATTGAGACATAATCCAAAATGCTCCTTCATACCAGTATAAGTACCAAACAGAAGAGATGGAAAATAGGAGAATATACAAGGTGGGACATGAATAGCCTATCATATGTTGACTTTGCCATCCAGTGGTTGTCATCTCTCCCCTCGCTCTTTCTCACACTTCTTTTTGCTTCTCTCTCTTTTGAATTCTCAGCGGTCTTGCCATTATTCTGTGTTTGTTTAGTGTTTCTGCTCGGCTGACAGACAGCTGTGGTCTGAGGCTCTGCATTGGTGAAAAATGCACAATGCCTGAAGAAAGCACTGGATGGAGACATGAAACTTTCTTTCGTTCGGGAACATTGCATAATTAGGACGCTGGCCAGTGTTTTAGAGGTCAACCGCTGCTGAGAGTCAAAGGTGGTCCTTTGTTTTCCTCTAAATGAGCCTCCATTGTGTTTGAGTACGAGGGGCTCTTTACTGAGCAAAACATTTCAAACTCACCCCAGCGTTAGAATCAAAAATATTACCCTGAAGTGTAGCTTGAAT